AATTAGTAATTATATATTTTAAAAAATTATGAATTATTTAAAATATACGAGGTTAACACTTTTATGTTTATTCATATTATCTCTAATGTTTATTTAAATTAAAAAGTTAATAGATTTACTTTTACAAAATTTGTTTAATAAATCCAGAATTTATAATAACCACTTTAATATTATTTTAGTCAACATATTATATTATTTATTTATTATCGTGTTTTTTGGTATTATTTAACATATTATATTTTTAAAGATTTTTTTAATTATATTATGAAATATTGTAATTGATTATTTTTCAAGACACTATTTTTTTTGTCATTTTACATGTTTATAAGCTAGTTTTATCAAAAACATGATTTGTTCATCAGCTAGCTTATCAGCTATCAGCTATTTTATCAGCCATCAACTAGTTTGGCAAACATAAACTTAATAATACAAGGGAAAAGTTTTAAAAAAATCAATGGACTTTAGTGTTTTGAATGATTAAGTCATTGGACAATTTTTTGGAACAAATAAATCTTTGGACATTCCAAACCTGTTAAATAACTTCTTCGACTTTTTAAAACATGTTAGATACATCTTTATGACCTATACAACTTGTTAATGTGATAAAATAATGGAAAAAATCTGGAAAACCCCCAATAAACTTTCATATCTTGAACGATTAAATCTCTAAACATTTTTTTTGAACAAAAAAGTACTTATAATATAAAATAAAACAAATATACCAAAAATGTACTTACATTTACAAAAGAATACTTACAGTTTAAAAAAATTATTGATAAAATTTATTCCTTTAAATCTTTTTTTATTTTTTTTTAATTTGAAAAATCATATACAGAATATATTTTAATTTTACTGATTTTTTATTTTACAGTTAAAATAAATTTCTTCAATATTTTTCTTAAATGTAAATACCTTTTTTATAAATGTAAGTACCTTTTTGATATATTTGTTTCATTTTATAAATATAAGTATTTTTTTGATTCAAAAAATATTTAGGGACTTAATCGTTGAAAATATGAAAGTTCATTAGTTTTTTTTCCAGATTTTTTCCATTATTTTACCATATTAACCAGTTTTATAGCTCATAATGATATATCTAACAGGTTTTAGAAAGTCCAATGAGTTACTTAACATGTTTTGAAATGTTCAAAAACTTATTTGTTCCAAAAAATTGTCAAAAGACCTAATCATTCAAAACACTAAAGTCTATTGAGTTTTTTTTAGACTTTTCCCATAATACAAAGATTTTTTTCTCATCCCATAATTAATGATATAGTGAAAAAATAATTACTTTTAAAAGTAAATTTTTATTTAAAAATAAACTAAAATAAATGTTAAACATTTATATATTTTGCAGTGCTCCTTTCCATTGTTTTAATGTTATTTGTAAAGCGATATTGATAGTGGAATGCTATATGCGTCTATTTTATGTTAAAATAATGTATTAGGAATGTAAAAAATAAGTGTTGATGTTGATATTTATGAGAAATATATTAGTAGGTAGTGGTGTATTTAGCTGTATATATGTGCTGCATTATGTTTGGCAAACTGACTAATAACTGATAAACTAGCTGGTAATTGATAAACTAATTGGTAATTGATAAACTAACTGATGAACTAATTATGTTTGAGAAAAATTAGCTGATAAACTAGTTGAAAATGTAAGTTAATGATAAAAAGGAAATTTTTAAAAACTAATAAAATTAACATTCATGATATAATTTGCTCCCTTCGGTTCGTCAACCTGCAGAAACCAGCAGCAACAACAGGTAGCTGCTACATTCAAGAGATTCAACACTTGGCCGATTGATCACCCGCAGCGACCATTTTTTCAACACCAATCAGATTCTTCAGAACAAAATCGAAGTGGGGTTTATTGTGGTGGATCAATAGTCAGACTTCAGAGAGAAAATGGAAAAAAATGACTATGGTGGATATGAAAGAAATATGGGGCGCCAGATATATATATACACATACACAGATATGTATGTATATATTATATAAAGAAAAGAACGAAATCACCGGCCACGCATTCAAACTCCACGTTTAAATCTTTGGATTTATCCTTGAACTCCAACTGTTTGATAAAATGTCTGAATGAAGATTGTTTGTGAATTGTGGTAAATCCTGAAGATCAAGAGTTTTATCCTTGAACACCAACTGTTTGATAAAATGTCTGAATGAAGATTGTTTGTGAATTGAGCAAAACTTGTAAGCAAATATTGTTTAGTTGTTTGAGGCTGCCATAGCCATCGCCACAAGCCCCCTCTTTTGGTCGACTTCTTCTCCGGCCTGTTTCTAGCAGACGTCGTCGACAGTTTGTCTTGGGTCGAGATTCCAGTTCATTTTCGCATCAAAGTCTCAGCTTAAGGGATGGGTGAAGAAGGAGATTGGGAGAAGGTCAGTCACCGTCGGAGGAAGAGTGACCGACAAGGCATTTTTCGAAGGGACCACTACATTCGTACCAATCAAAGTGAGGGCTTCAGGAGAGAACTTTTCAAAGGGACTGCTTCCAACTTTTACATCACTAACTTCCCAGAACAGGTCAAAGAGGCAGACATCTGGAAGATCCTCATTAGGATTGGAAAAGCAGTTGATGTTTACATTGCTAAGAAACGCAACAAGCAAGGCAGYAGATTCGGTTTTGCAAGGTTCTTAGGAGTTTCAGACTCTAGAGGGTTCGAAGGCAAGCTCAATAACACGTGGATTGGAGGTCAGAAACTTGTTGCCAATCTTGCAAGATTCGGAAGGGAAGTCCCACCTCGGAAAGTAGAAGATGCGAAGTCTCATGGTGGGGCCAACCGACCAATTAAAGCGCTGAAATCTTTTGCAGATGTGGTTAGGGGCTCGCCTCTCGTCGRTGATTWTACTCCCCTATCGTTCAATTCTTCCCCTGAGTCCAGGCGACGGCTGAGTCGATCTTTGGTGGGTAAGGTCGCTTCCTCCTCTCTACTCTGGGGTATTGATGGCCTTTTGAAAGACGGAGGCTGTGTCGGATATAGGATCAAGTACTTAGGGGGTCTGCATGTCCTGTTGGAATTTGAGTCCCCGGAAGGTGCCACTTCTTTTCTTTGTAATGCGAAAGACTCGTGGAGCTGTTGGTTTGATTCGTTGGATTCTTGGTCTGAGGGTTTTGTTGTTCCAAATCGACT